CTAACTAGTCATTTCTAGTTAAAGAAATACCTTGTATAAAAGTTACATCAACTAGTGCTTGCAATCTTATGCTTGATAATATCATTTATAACCTCTCTAATTGAGTCAAAGGAACCATCTATATTGCATATATCCTTTAAAGAAAGATAACATCTCTTAGTAGATTGTTAACTGTTAACTTTTATGCCTCTTTAAAAGCTTCAAAAGTAGCATAATATTTAGTTTCTACTATTTTAGGCACTGCCATTGGATTCTTTAGAAACATGATCAACTCCTTATATTTTCTAGACTTTTTACCTTTCACGATGCTCTTCCCTTTCTATTGTGAAACAAATCAATTAATCAAATTACAATATTTTAAACACATTAAATTAAAACATAGTATCTAACATACCTTTATTAATTTTGCCTTTACTACTATAATAAGATGGGAATGCCATATAACAAAACTTTCCACTACTTCTACTGTATCTATATCTTCTAAGGGCAAGGGCAAGGCATAATTGACATATGTAGAAAACTTCAAGACTACCCGTAAATAGCTAGTAGGAAATGTCTTATTATGAAGCTTATCCCTTACAATGTTGTATACATGGCCCATTGCAACCAAATTGTGTATAAGACTAGATATCAGATAATTGCATTTAGTCTTATCCTATACCAATAATTTCAATTAGTATTAAGGGAAAAATTGTAGTAAATTAAGAAGATGAGCAATTATAACTTGAGTAGGTGAATAGGTGAAATTGCACAACTGTCTTTCTTGTTGGGGCTAATGTCTACCAATTGCCTCCCAACATTCTCCCCCTTAATTAGCATTTCAATTAGTTGTACTTGTGCTTGTATTTGCTCTTTCTTCCTCCTTTATTCTTCTTTCAACTCATCAATACCTCATTTGAAGAAGCCTTCAATGATTTATTTTTTTGCCTTTTCAATATTGCTTTTTCATGATGCCAAAGCCAATACCATAACACGACTAGAGTGGTCAAGATTCCCTAACACTTTTGCTAAAATATCCTCATCCTAAGGTAGCTTGCCTTATGAGATTTTCTAAGAGATGACATCCTATGCGAAGTAAATATGATTATTTCGAGGATCATAATAAATTTTTATTGATAAAAAGAAGTAATATTTACAAATTTATTGATAACCTCTTTCACACTAGGATTGTCAATAGTTCCCTCTTTCTTAGCTTGAGCCAATGCCTATAGCATATGGTGAAATCTTGTTATATCTAACCCCTTATTCTCTTTCAGTTGCTACTCTAACCTTGTGTACCCCAAATGCCCTTTCCTATAGGGATATTTGTTTTTCTTCATACTTTCCTTAATTAGGGCACTTAATTTCTAGGAAAACAACAAAATATTTAGAGTTAGGTCATATATATACAAGTAAAAATAAAAAAAACTTAAGAAATAAGAATAATTATCACTTTAAATGCCTCCTCACAACATGTAACAAATGTAGTCCAATCCTCCCATTTTATTAAACAGTTATAATAAGGGAGGAACCTAAGCTACAAAGTTAGCATTAAGATCTTTCAAATATTTGTGTGCAATAAACTTTATGAATTATTGTAGTGCCCTCTTAGGGTTATTGGTCATGTCCTTACCTATATACTCTTCAATCTCTTCAAAGTTGTGCAACACTTATAGGTGTGGTTGCTCTCACTGTAAACTCAAGATGGTAACTACTTTATTTCTCATTATCCTCTCTTTACTTGTTCTTTTCACATGTCAAGATATGGGAATGCTAATGTCACTTCTTCACAAATATATTGCTTTTATAATACAACCCTTTGGTTGACTCCAATTTTTCACATTGCCTTTCAACATCTTTATGTATCACTTAATTGAATACATTCATCTTATATAAGCATGCCCACACATTTCTACCTCTCGTATCAAAAGGTTGCTAAAGCTAATATCCAAATCCTTTATCTTTTCAAATAGATAATCATCTATCAATGACAAAGGTGGCCTACCACCTTCTAAATTTGCATTAAAAAGTTTTCTTAATTGCTAAAAATGATGATTCCAATGTAAAAATCTATGATGCCCATGATAAATATTTTTAATACCATGTTTCAACCTCATCAAGTATGTACTAGCCTATTTGTAAATAGGGTATCTTATTTTCCTTTTAATGTTGTATCCCAAAAGATTACTATACATAGGAAAGTCATTGATTGTACTAAAGAATATAGCTATCAAATATAATCTTTATTTCCCTATCATGTATAGCTCTACACCTAAATTTCATATTAGGATGAAGTCTTCAATCAGAGAAGCCAAGTATATGTCTATGTCATTCCTAGATGCTTGGGTCTTGTAATTAGCATGGACAATATCATGTACTTATGATTCATTCAAAGCCATGTAGGAAGATTATAAAGTAAAAAAATTAGTAGATGAGTATTATGGATGTTGCTTTGAAGCCCATGCAGACTCATCCCATTAGTAGACAAATCAAGACATAAGTTCCTAGTTTCTTTCTCGAATTCAAGATACTCATTATCAATCTTCTTCCTTTGATCAACATGCATTATTAGGTTTTTCTTTAAAACAAGATGGTGAAGCATGCCATCTTTAATCCTTTGATTAACATACAATGTGAAGTTTTTCACAACTTCTGCATTACTATACATGTGTATAAAATCTAGGTATGGTTGGAAAATATCATAGTGCATTAACTAGACTTAATCCATTGTTCTACTTGTGTTAGGCATTACACTAAGGAAACTTAGTCCATGACGCATATTCATTCATAAATAAAAGATAATTGTTAAGGCAAGCATGTATCTTTTATATAACTTATGTTAATAGAGTGTAATTTCTTTTTCGCATCATGTGTTAGGCTAAGAAGCTCATTATCCTTCAATAGCATTTTTTTCACAAGTGCAAGAAACTTTGTGAAACTTTTATCACTCCATTCATTTTTTCTTTCAAATTATACAATTTTGACACTACTGACAATTTTGTGAATTTAGTTCAACTAAAGTATAATAGTTTCTTTGCATTAATTTTCAACTTCTCAAATACTTCAAGACAATCCTCAAAGTTCTCTAAAATCACTTTGTCCATCTTTTCAAGATGATGTTCCTCATATGTACTTTTGTCAAAATTAGGTGATACTGTATAGTTTTTGCTATGCTTTCAACTACTACTAATATCATCCCTTGTCTCTCCATGTATTATCTAATACATATAACTTTGATCACTTCCACGAATTACTAAGTGGTCTTTACAAGTAGATGGAGTAACTTGCTTTACGAGTTAGCACTTTAAAGATGGACAAACAATTCTATTAGGGTATTTGGCATGCTTAACTGCAAACCTAATAAAGTCCACCATTCCATCCCAATATTCCTTAGATAGAAAATTGGCATACAACAATTCTTTATCCATAATTCAATCTAGCATGGATGATAGAGAGAATTGTGATTAGTGGCTAGAAGAGTTAGGGAAAGATATATATGGAATTAGTTAAGGAGGTACTAGCCACATGCTTGCATATATTTTTCCTCTTTAATTTTATTAAGAACTTATAACTAGTTAAACTAATAACTAAACTAATTTAAAAAGATCTTATCCTATATAATAATCCTATTCTTTAAAATTGTATGCTAGTGATTGAAAAAAAAAAGTAATAGTATAACAACTTAAAAATTAGTGTTTCTCATGTATTATGCCCTTTCTTCGTATTGAAATTTAATCCCCCAAAAGTTCTAATATAACAACTCATACCTAATTAAGTATAACAGCAACATCAAATTAATACAATACCAACATGAGAGCCAATTCTTAATTAATTGAAAAAATCATATAATCCACAAAAATTTCAATTGATTAAGACACCAAAAGTTATTTCATATAATCTAAAATTTAATTCCAAAAAAATCTAATGGCTTGAGACACTATTTTTTAACAAAGTTTATAGATTAAGTGTGTTTTCAATTAATTGAACTTGAATGTATATCTCTGACAGAAACCATAGAGGAACCACATAGGTAAGGGATTAAGTGGAAGAATGAAGGAAAATTCAAATAAAGAACCCAAACCATAATCCAATTGCCAAAAAAGGAAAAAAAATGAATCGAGGAACATTTTAAGAGACAACAATGTGAAAATAACAAGAAATAGGGAGAAATGGAAGAATAAAGGAAAATCAAATTAAATAACCCAAAAACCATAATCAAATAGAATGAAGATAGAAAGGAGATAGGAACATACTAAGAGAGACGATGTGAAACGAAGAGCATATGAGATGCATGAGCAAGAGACATGATGGCATGATGATGATGGAGATGACAAAGGAAACAATTACCAAGAACACACAAAAATCATGATCCCAATAAGAGAAGTGGCTGAAATGGTGGTTGGAATACAGGAAAATGGTTCTTAGTGTCGTTAGGAGAGTATATAATTGTGACCACACTTCTCAAATGAAAAACGATAATGGGTTTTGGAGGGAATTTAAAATATAATATTTGATAGTTATTTCAAAATAATTGGCAAGTATTATCTATTTGATGCTTTTTATAAAATAACTGTGAAATATATTCTTGATATTTGATAGTTATTTTCAAGCAAGTGTCAAATATATATATATATATATATATATAATTTAGTTATATATATATATATGACATTTTTTTAGATAACCGTCAAATATATGCTTGAATATTTGATGGTTATGCTAAATAAATGTCAAATAGATTGTTACATCTCTGTCTCCACTTATTTGTCATTTTTTCTAATAAATGACAAGTATGTTTTCTTTATCTCAACATTCTTCTCTAAGAAAGTAAAAATACAAGGTAGTAATAACATGTTCACTTTACTATTTGATTCCAAATTTACTCATAATTCATAAATTTATATGTTTTCTTTATCTCTACATTAATCTCTAAGAAATAAAGTAAATAGAGTTGTTCTATATATTTGATTTATGTTATGTAATATATTCATTTTTGTTGATTAATGTTCTTAAATTGATAGAAAATACTTTGAAGGCAATGGGATGAACCAACACCTTTAAGGATTAGAGGAGGCTTTTTCACCGACTCAATCCACCATCATCAGGCTTTTCAAGTTTGGTTAATGGGGTTAATTCATATAAACGACATTGAAGATTTTGTGATCCCAAAACGACTAGCAGAACTTAGTCAACATATGCAAAATGATCAACAAAAGATTAGGGGTGGGGTTACTTGGGAAGGGCAAGATCTATCCATAGAGGATGAGTCACGAATCAATGACAATCTTGGAGATGAAAATGATAGACAAATGGAGATTCTTGAGATTCACAATCACATCAATCAAGTAGATCTTGCAAAAAAGAGCACTAAACAACTAATCCAAGGGCCTTTGGTTCGTTGGGTGAGATTCTTGCCTGTTAGATCTTTGAAGGTGTTATTAGTTGAGAATGATGATTCAACACGCCATGTGGTCTGTGCTTTACTTCGAAATTGTGGATATGAAGGTTAGTATTATCTTTAATTTATATTTATAATTCATTATAATAGCATGGGTTTTAAATTGATCTCTTTCTTATATTATTAGATATTTTGATAGTGTGTTGATCTATTATGTAATTACATTTATTGAGTCATCCATCTACAAATTTATATTGATTACAACAAGAGTAGAGGTTGACTTGGTTTCTCTTCTCCTTGTTGAAATGATATTTTATTAGGATTTAGGAAATTAAATAGATTAAAAAAGTAATTGAAAATTAAGAGAGGTGAAAAAAGAAAAATAACATATGGAACACAAGAATATAAGTTACTACATAAATCCCACAAATATTACTAATTATGCACATGATAGCTTTCATGCCAAAATCTTCACATGGCCAACAAGTTTGACCTAACTTGGTCAAAAATTATGGCCACAAAAAAATTGAAAAAAAACATAGCAAGTTGAAGGGAAAAAAAATTCTAACATATTTCATATTAATTAGCTTAAACTCTTGATATAGGAGAAGACATGGAACTGTGCTAGTTCAAAACAGAACTTGGGACATAAACAAGAAATGAAAACAAACAAAGGAAAATGAAATTAAAGGAAAAAAAAGAACAAAGATAATGATCAAGGAAAAGAATTCCTAGAGTACCCATCTCTAGCAACTTTAGCCTTTGAAAACACCACCAAAGTTCATCATACTCTTGATCACGCTTGTATTCACTACAAAATACCTTCAAGCAAGTACAGCTCATAAAATAAAGTTAAAATCTCTAGAAAAATAAAATTATCTTCATTAATCTTGTTCAAATGAGTACAATTTTGTGGCCTATATATATTGGCAAACATAAGACAACCTAAATGGAATGATAAATTCTAGAATTCTCTTTAAGAGTGGTACTTAATGCTTCATATATTAGGAAATTTTCCTAATTCATGATGATTAAGTAATTATGAGTAATTAAAAGGCATTCTAGAAGCTTTCCTAAAAAATAAACTTACATATCGAGTAAAATCACCTCAATAAGTGCTAATAATGAAAAGGATTCAGCTGCATGTTGAAATTACAAACTAGGAAACTAACAACAATCTTAAGAAACACATGAGAAAATAAAATTGGAAGCTAAGGAAACTTGCAATCTCATATTGATGAATAAGTGGATCATGTCTCAATGCTCTCTAAATTAGATCATGGATTCTTCTAGAAGTCTCTTTGACGTGTTTCCTATGATCCTTTTACTACACATGCTTGTCACATGATATTTTATGTGAATTCTTCAATATGAATTCCATATAGACCTTGTACATTATTTGGTTAGGCTTCTAGCAATTTAATATTTATTACTGCACCTTTTAAATGGATGTTCACTTTTATAAACTTGCATGGGCTATTTGGGCATCCATTTGAGCTTGAATAATCTTGATTTTCTTTCATAAACTCTTACGGCCTATTAAGCAATGCATTTAAGCCCAATTCAATATATTAAAGCTTCATTGGGCTCCTCTGTGTATATATAATTGCACTAAGCCTTTATCTTATTGGAAATTGACCAATAATAGCATTAGGGGTGTCCTATCACTTTCCATATCACCCATATACATAATCATCTATGTCACTTTTTTATGCTTTTAGGCCACTTGTGGATTATGGTTCTTTGGGCCCTTTTGGACTTATTACATATGTGATACCTATAAAACCTTTACTTAAACACATAATTAGCCTACACTTAACCTTAGAGTAGAACTATCATAGTAATTATAATCAATTTAATTAACAATAAAAGATATCATGGCATTAAATGATCAACCTTGGCTGTTTGAAAACTCATAAGGTTAAGTAAGAAAACTTTATAAAGATGAAATCCTATAAATTATTTAATCTCAAAACCAAGTTTAGAATGTCATTTAACTATTATAAATTAAAGTAAAAAATATTTGGGAAGCATGGAAAATATTTAGAGTTGAAAACAAGGTCAAAATGGTCATTTTTACTTAACAGAGGCAGTTAGCCTTGGCTAGAGCACATTAAGTCACAGCCGACACTTCTAGAGAATATTTAGTTGATGCCAATTCCCTTTTTCCTGTGTCCAAATCATCTCGGCCACTCCTTTGGTTATGGCCAACAATCCTTAAGCTGCGGCTAAAGATATGATAACATTTGTCATGACAGCTACCAACCACTAACTTCCAACGTGTATAACTTTTGACTCAAATCTCTGATTGAGGTGATTCAAGGCCCACACATCAAAAATTTCATAATCTAGTTAATAGTTTTTGTTTCATGTCTATCTGATATCAGATGAAGAATTTAGACACCCGAAACCACAATTTCACATTTTTTTCCTCTAAACCATCAACCAAGTATCCAAATCTCAAACCATAAGCCATTAGCCCACACAAGGCCTTGAACCATACTCAATAAATCCTAACACACTTTTCTAAATAGTCACAAGTATCAAACAACACTTAATACAAGAGTTGACCCAACCACCATAAAACACATGATAAGGGGGTAAAAATGTAATTATTTGCATTCAAACTAAATAATCACTCAAAACATGTTAAACTAATCTAACTTGTCAAGATATACTTGTTCAAATTATCTTGACACATTACCATAGTTAGATTAGAGGTTTGGACCCTTTTATAGCCAATACAATCTAAAAATGACTAAATTCAATGTTTAAGGTTACAAATGCAAGTAGACTTAAAATATACATAAATCAATATGAAAGACCCTTAGTTGGAAAATATTGTATTCAAATTACACATAAAAGATAAAACTAGAGACATTACAATTGATTACTTAGTTTCTAGCATCAGAGGCCTTCCTTTTGCCCTTAGCTTAGTCCTTGCCTGTAAACATTAAACTACGAGAGTGAGATAAATATCTTAGTAACCAAGTAATTTAATCAAGTATATTAAAGTGTGGCAATCACAACAATTAAGTATTTAACATCACATAAGACAAGCCAACATTATTCACAATGCATCTTTATAATGTGTTTTGCATGATCAAATGCAATCGCCTTATACCACTCCTTATATTATTTGACTAAATCTATAGGCTATTATCTCATATAGATCTAGCCCATGTGACTGGAGTAGCCTCTCTCTCTAATTGTGAAAGGTTACCTGGTCAAAGGCTCTTACATTCACTCTCGAACCATGAATTTTCCCTACTTGAATTTTAAGGTGTCATAAGTGCCCATCCTATACTGTCCAATCTAGGATCAGTGATATTGAGTATCATGCCCGACCCATGCCACACCCATAGGTTATTGGCAATACTAAGCACATAAAGTAATGAAGTATGCTAACCATTATGCACAAACACAGTGAAGGCTACACCACGTGGATTTTCTATCATAATCCCTCTATAATGCTAGGGTGAACTCCTACCCATTATAATCATGCAAGTTCAATCAACAAATGCAAATATAAGCTCATACATATCATAGTAATTTATCATCCTCATAATTTCTAAAACTTGCATGCTTATCACAATTTACACTACATTATAGTTTACAATAGCTCATTATATAATCAACTCATAGCCAATTCAGGCTTACAATTTATATTTCAAAAACTAAATAACATCTATATAAGCATAATCATCAAGCATTTCATCATAAATATGCATGCTTACCTCATCTCTTCCAACATCATCAATTATGACTACTCATCATGTTAACACATTCATCTCATAGGCAATCTAGGCTTAACATCTCATGTTTCAATATCATATAGCATTTATATAAATATAATTACTAAACACTTCATCACAATGAGTCACATTTCATATTTGGATAATAGTTCAAAATCAACATATTCATCTATAAGCTCATTTTGCTCATTTCAAGCCACCCATAATGATGCTTAAAGTGTAAATGCAAACACAATAATATATTATACTTAAATTCCTGGTTACCTCAACTCTTGATTTACTAATCAAGAGTAGCCATAAACATCAAACGGAGCCTTTAATAAGTTCAATAACACCAACAATGATCAACTTACAATCAAACACATCAATAGGCATTAGTGAGTAATTATTCTTAATTAAATATAATCAAAGCCTAAACTTAAAAATCTCATTGTGGTCATTTACCCACAACCAAATCTATTTTTAGGTTCCATTAGTTCACTTAGACTCCCAATTAGTTTATAACCTCCTCAGCTCAACCAATTAGCTCTAGGGTTTACTCCAAACCTTACTTTGAAATCTTAAAAAATCATTTGCATCATAAATCAAAGGTTAGACACTTAAATAAACACCCATTAATCCCTTTAACGTCAAAATTCTAGGTAAAATCACAACTTATTTTTGGATTCCCAAAGAACTCCCCAAAAATAATGATAAAAATGCATGAGAAGAAGAAAAGAGGTTGTAAACACTTATCAAAGTGATTAGAAATTCCAAATAGACTCAATTGGACACCCATAAAAAACCCTAATAGAGCTCTCCTCATTTACCTTCGGACTCCCACTTAACTCTCTAATTTTCTGAGCTGAAATGTGGATTTGGAGGTTTAAAAATTAAGTTTTGGCTATGGCTGAGAGACTTTTGACTGTGGCCAAAGACTAAATATTAATGCTCCGAACATAGTCCATCTAAGGTGACTCGGCTAAGGCTTATACTTACTCTTGAACCATAGATGCACCTATTCCAAACTCATATAGGGTGTCATTTTACCCGGTTTATGGCAAGTATCAAGAACTAAAACACTGAGGCCTCACCCTGCTAGTGAGTATCACACAGATTTTCGTAACATCTTACTCTCTTAAGTGAACTTCTACCCATCAATGATCATGCACATGCTCACATCATTCAATAACTTATTATCAATGTAACTTGATTAACTTATCTCATAATCAAGTACATCCTATCAAGTTAAAGGATAATTAACCATTTTTTAAAGTTTCATGCCAATACTATAAACTCATGCACAATGATACATCATCAATATATACTTTTTGCTCATAAACATGATCATCCTATCAAATCATATATCCTTC